TGATTTTTCTTTAATATATAGAGAGATAATTATTCATTGAGAAGATATCTGAATATGTAATAATGTATAAGAAATAGAGAAATAAATAATCAGTTAAGTGAATACTGAGTCTGTAGATAGAAGCTTACTTATCAGTCACTCTAATCTTATAATAAGATTTTATAAGAAGAATATTAGTAAAAGATCTGAAAGTTCTAATATCTTAGATATATGAAATATTTATATAATTATACTTCTTTCAATTTCAATGAATAATATAACTATGTCTACTGATAATATAAGAGAACTCTTAAATACAAGTATAGACACAGTATCACTGTAATGTGATGAAACTGAAGTGATAACTAGTTAGCAGTATTACATAGAGATAGTTATGTGATTCGGAAGAACATATAACCGCCGGATAATAACGCGGCCGCTTTCAAACACGCTTACAAATGTAAAGGGGCTCTAGCGGCCACTAATTAATTTAGATAACATATATAAGAAGCTAGCATACATCTGTAATTGTACACTGACTCAAGCAATCTTTGAATCATATCTGATAGCATGTCTAAAAACTGGTGAGAAGCACAGGCTTCTTCAGAGCATGATAATTCTGTCTACAAAGTGATTCATACTTATCATGTCAGTGTGGTTCTAAAATGTCTCAAAAGATAGTGTATGAAGAAGTGATGAGTGAAAGAGCATCTGATTGATACTGCTCTGCTTGTTGAAGAAAAACTTCACACTCAGATAAATGCTATGTATGCAAACAGATGAGATGTGAAAAAGAAGATGTAAGTAGTGAATCAGATTTAAAGAAGACTGCTCTCTATTTAGAAGAATAAAAGAGAAGTAATCATTATCAGAGTTATACAATGATAACAGAAATCAGAAATCAGAAATTATATAACAATAAAATTATATAACAATATAATAATAGATATTATACAATTAATAAGAAATTATTAAAATGAATATCTTCTCTAGTCAATATGAACACTCTTCTCTGCTATCTGAACTGAAAGATATGCAGAACCTCTTAGAGAGTTTACTCAAAGTAGTAAGAAAAGCAGTCAAGATCACTGAACTGGAATTGAAGCTCTGTACATGTACAAGAATTCTAAATAAGATTGAGGCCTTGTATACACAGTGACAGACTGAGACAGAAGTTAAGCAACAATTGATATTCACTGTGAATCAAGTATTTACTATGAAGAGCTTCACTGATGCAATCATTATCATTAATAAGAATAGGGAAAACCAGATCATAGACCTGCAGCAGAAGATCAAATATTTATACAGATAGATAACTGTATTATTATTATTATTATTCTTCAATTATAGATGTATGCAGTCAGAGACTATGACATCTACCTGAGAATTAAAAGTTCTCAGGGTTTTTTCGATATCTATAAAGATAACTATCATACATTCATCAATTTCAGATATGCAAAATCAGAAAATTCCAGCTCAGAATACAAAAACTGTTTACAAATTACAGTGTTTTAACATCTTCTGATACTTTGAAATCATTTGACAATATCATGACAAAGGAAAAGAGAAAAAGAGCACAGTCTCAAAGATAGACACATTAAATAGATAGATAGAAAGAAATTGAAATGAAAAGATAAAGAAAAAGATAAAGTAAAGAGAGACTATAACAAAACAAATTATTAAAAGAGAGTGTATAGCTGTTTCAACAGACTATATCTGATTGATTTCCTTCTCTTCATATTCAGATATTTCTGAATTCAGTCATTTTCTTGTAGCTGCTTGAGTTTCTGATAGAAACTCTATTAAGTATTTAATTCCTGTCTCAGTTGAGAATAAGAATCTCATATTTAATTGATTTAGATCATACTTCTCTTTCAATCTGACTCTGAGACTATTGTATAATGCACAGTGCATTACAATATACTCAGGATTCTCATTTGCATTGCAGAATAAGCATTCTATTGAATCAAATCTATCATCAAATCTTTGCATATAAGATTTGAAATAGTCATGTCCTAGTTTTAGCTGTATTATAGATGAGAATATTTTCTTTTTACATTTAATTGAACAAGATTTCCACTTGGGTTTTGTTTCAAATCTTGAATAATGTATACTCTTCTTTTATTTCTACCAGCTTTCATTTCACTTGTCTAAACAAGATTCTTTTACTTTTCTCTTTATAAAAGATCAGGACATAATTTTTTGAATGAATCTGCTTAGTTCTGAATCTTCTTTTACAGCTGAATCAGTCA